GCGTAAGAGTGATAATTCCTTAGATGTTAGTATCCTATCAGAAAGATTTCTGACCAGATTTTCAGGATTTAGCATCTGAGATGTCCTTGCTTAAGTTTTGGTTCGTTTGCGGTTGCCGTCTTTTTCGCTCATCAGATGTATTTTCGTGGCTGCCAATATTCGTATTTTTTGTATTTGTATTTGTATAACTTTGTATAACACTGACAAGATTTAAAAGCGTGTAGTCTCCGTTGCTCGATGATGATACGAAGCTCTCTCATGATGTCTGATGGTAATGAAACGTTCAGACTGCGTCGAGGTTTTTAACCCTGAAGCGTAACGAGCGTGTTTTTGTAGAGCAGTCATGTACACGTTGTCGTAGGAATGTGCGTGCTAGCGTTGTTGCGGCCTTTTTGTGAGCGATATGAGGTATCGGGTTGTTTCACACGAAGTGATTTGTGAATGACGTTGTTTCGAAAAACCTTTGATTGAATATGCGGTGGTTGATTCAATTGGCTGACTTTTTCCGGAGGGTAATCCGATTGGCGATGATATTCATAGTGTCATATCCGAACGACGTTCAAAGTGTATCGAAAAATCGATGCACCAAGTGATATGTTTTATATAAGTAGTAATTGTGTAAGCACAGCGATGTTGGTAGGGGGCATCAAACGCAAGAAGTTCAATTATTATGATAAACCCTGGGAGAACAGTTTCACTCCTTCCCCCTAGGTTTTCACATTATCTTTCCTTCCGAGTGAACCATTACAACGATTTTGAGGTAACCGCGCACAACGGGACCGCGATAAGGCCAGCGCACCACAAAGGATTCAAGTGAAATAAAAGAAGTTAGCTTGGGTTGGAACTGTCATCTCGAGGTGAAACTTGACTACACAGTTAGAACAATTACGTAACGGTCGCACATGCGATTGTCTGGCTTGGAGCGACCAAGTTAGCTTGGTCTCAGAGTTTGAACCAAGGTTAACATGATTCATTGCGTCTGAATCGATTAGAAGCTACCGATTCAATAAATGCAACGATCAGTGAAAGTTTATTCAAAGAGTTTGGGTTTCATTTTTTCATAAACAGCCGAAGCAATTGCACCCACCTCCCAAACCAGCCCTCTTTATCCTCACAGAGACATTTTGTAAGAACCTCAAACAGGGCATGACCGTCTATAATTATGAACTGGCAAAGTAACACTCGTCTGTTTCATTCGTTGATATGCATTCTCTGCTCTGTCTATGTTCAGTCTACCGTAAAACGCGCTATATTTCGTTAATCGATGAATCACTGAAAAAAGCTTGGCTGATAACTTCTATTCTCAGTCAATAAAATAANTATTCTCAGTCAATAAAATAAGACATAATGTTGATAAATTTAATAGAAATATTGTTTCAATCAAACCGGATAAAGCAATATCCTCAAAATCGAACAGTTCATTCATCGATCAGTTCATACCAGTGGAGGGAATTCAGCGAGTGAACTAATACGCTTTGCATGCAAACGTCTTGTTTACCCCAGGTTTATGTGGCTATCCCCTATGGAAATCACACAAAATTCTATCGAGGACAATATTGTCCAGAGGTAGATTAGACGGTTGTACAAACTGAAACTGAAGAATAGATGAAATGGGGCAAGTGCTCATCGTACTCATTGTAATACAAATATCTGAAAATTAAAAAAAACTGAGGGATTACGATAGGTTGCCAGGGTTATCTGATGCCGTCTTCTCGTGTTCACAGAAATACAAAGCTGTCACAGGTCCATGGTTCGGTCGTTTTGACCATTTCAGATGGTTGGACGCCAAGGTAAGCATTTAATCTTTAAGTGGTCTACTTGCGATGTGAACCACAACTGCATTAAAATTGGAAGCNCAAACCAGACGATATAATAGATTTTTGATATTGCCCAAATGAGCAAACATTTGTACCTTTGATCGCATATAATTTCGAATTTTGTCACTGAAAATTAAGAAAAATGTTGGGTGAGGTATAACAAGTTAGGCCAACAATTCCTTAGATGACAAAAACTATGAACAATGAAATGTTCACCTACTGCTCGGAAGAGTTGCTATAAAACGTGTTTATTCTGTGATTTGCGTTTCAGTGAGGTAGCCAATCGAAATTCCGGCACGGAAGCATTGATTAGTTGTCTTCAAGTGAGTGATCCGGAAATCGAGGCGATCACAGTGGGAGGATTGACAGCGATCACGAACTTGGCTTTGGAAGAAGCTACTAGACCGAAAATGTTGCAAGCAGTATCCAGTAAACTGTTGGCTCTGTTACTATTGTCCAAGTAAGTTGCGAAGTTCTGTTGTACACACTGCAAATCAATGTGTTTGTTTTGAACTACTCAGTGTCGAATGTGAAACTGAGTAAAATCAAATGAACGCTTCACTAAAGTTCATTTTGATGAACAAGAAGTTTAATTTACAGCCTGAATTGTACCTGATCAATAGACTACATCATTACACTCGAATTTCTTAGGATCGACAAAGATAATGCATAACAGCAATAACGATTTGGGTTTGATGGGCTTTTCCGAATAGCAAACAGGAACGTTTTGCACTGACTCTAGGATATCCACTTATTGAAAATCTCGCAGGATTTGATTGGAATACATGGTGAATTTCTTCGTGCATGTATTAAACAAAGCATGAAAGGGAAAGCTAAAAGGCACCGGGGAACTGTTCGATTGTGCCGCTCATTTTGTTCAAAATATCGTAAATTTTGTTTGACTACCGTTTAATGTGAAAAATGACTGCAAATCACCCTTCCGAAGTAATAGTAAAGGAACGCTGTATTTCTGTCGTAGCGATGCGTTACTCATTTTGTATTAATCTTATAACAACCACCTCTCCTACCTGGAAATCGTTTAAACCTCTATAAATCCAATAAAAGGAAGTAAGATAACAAAAAGCAATAAAAGCAGAAGGTGTGGGGGGAGCTGCTCCAAAAGCATTTCGCACTAGCTGTTCACGTCGGCCGTACCGCGTACTTAGCGGTTTAACAGGCACTCACATCCACATCTCACGTGACATCAGACGCGGTAAGCATAAACACGGGTACAAGTTGTTCAAACTGTTGAGTCACTGCTAATACTATCTAGTGTGCTCATGATGGGCTGATCTATAGTATAGTGACCAGTTCACCAGACTGACATGTCGCCTTGATGTTGAGGTCCGCCTGCCCACCTCAAGGACAAACTACCAATCAAGGTTATTACCGCTCTGGTGGAGATCGGACACTGGCAAAAGAACGTCGATACTCGATTTTCCGATCGACTGAGAGTTTATATAGGATTAGATGCCAGACAGACACAGAACAAGTGTATTTTGTCAAGTACTTTTACCGATGAATTTGAGATTTAATCATATGGCGAGTTTTTCGTCGTGTAAAGAGCAAATGAAGCGTGAACTGAAAAGCTAGGAAGCACTGGACAGCCATTTCGATCTGGTTAGGTCTCATCAGAAGTGGGAATCCATTGACCAAACTGGAGATCGAACTCTAAACCTCACTGGTGGAACGCCAGAATACTACACACTTGGCCACCAGGCAACCGATCAGACCGTTTTTCATTTGTCCTAAACACAATAAAGCACAACTCATTTTTTTTCGAGCTTAATACAGACATCTCACCGTGCGCATCTTATCCCTCGATTCCAGGGATATGAATCGCTTGGAAACATTCCAANCCTAATCATTTTTATGAGTTTTTAGTCTCTGTCCTGGTTTCAATCCTCAATGGGGTGGGTGTATCAGCCGTGCTAATAAGACCCGACCAGGTTGAACCAGTTGTGCAGTAATTCCCTAGCTTTTCTCAGTTCACGCTCCCTATGCAATGCAATGAAATTTACTCATCGGCTGAGTTTATTTTTGAACAGTTTAACTGATAATATTTTTTGTGCACCTAATTTCCTCCCCTTGTAAGTGATGTTCTATGGTATATGAAAAGAAGGTGATATTTGTAAGGTGATTTCCTATTCAAAAAGGTTATGACCAACAAGATTTTTTTCATACATATTCTCGGTCTGCAGTTCGACTTTGACTCAAGCTAAAGCGGCTGTAGCCATCGCGGCTGTGGTTTGCAACGCAAAATCAGTGAACCAATTTTGTCGACAAGGTGGGGCTGAAAATCTTATCAAACTTCTGCACTCCCCGGTGGCCGAGGTTCGTCGAGCCAGCTGTTGGGCCATATACACAATCGGTACACACAACGAGGCTGCCAAATGCTTAGCTCAAGCCGGGTAAGTGTTATATGATACCCACAGTATTTTCCCTTTGAACTGAGATCAATTTTCCTCATAACTGATTCAAAAGAATGGTTAGTTTAGATCAATACAAGAAGTTGATTGTTATCCGTGTAGCCTGCATCCCCATAGTTTTGTATGTTTCTAAACTGGACGTCGATTCAGTTATATGAAGCAGTCTATTTTTGATATTGCTAAAAGTAATTTTTCACTTTTTCGGTCTACCACTGTTATGGGCAAAGTGGAGTTCAAATTAAGTTGAGGCTTAACTAGAAAATGAACAGTGTTTACTGTGAGGAACACCGATTGACTTTTGTTGAAAAACGTTTAACCTACTCGAGGTTTCGTCTTTTGAAACTAGTTTCATTTTTTCTGACTCTTAAAGATGTTATGCCGATTGTGAAAAGTTCAGTAACCTCGACGGGGTTCGAACCTAGGCATGAAGAGAAAACGAGTCGGTGAGCGAACAATTGTTTTCGGATAATCCTAGTCATTCCCCTGCATACCAAATAGTGAAAACATTCATACCTTATGATAACCATTGGCGTAATTTAAGGTCATTACTCGAAGGCAGAGAGTAACGGAAGCGTATGCGTGTGTGTATGGTGTGTGCTTGCGTGCGTGAACGAATGTTAGCGCGTTAGTTGATGTGATCTTCCCCACTTGAGTCAAGTGACACGTCATGTTCCGTCTTGGTTTTCACACCCGGTCCAGGCAATCGGAGCGCCTGCACCAGTCGTTATTGAGCACACAAGTTGGGGCCTGTAAACGAATGACGATCGCCTCGGCCATAGCTAGTGACCAAACTCGGGCCGCCATCGATCGATTGAGTGGGATGCGATAAACAACATCGAAAGCTTTCTCCGGTTCGATCTTGTGCCCGGTGTCGACGAGATGCCCCACGATCGCGCTTGAGATACAGCCAGTCTTCCCCTAACTTAACCATCGCGGGTAGGAATATCCGAAAACAATTGTTTGCTCACCTACTCGTTTTCTCAGTGCAATCATGGGAATATTCAAGCTCTTAAAGAGGTATTAATTGTTCCAACCTGTGTCAGATCTCAAGCACCACTTTAGAGATAAGTTTATGATTTTCACGTTTATGATTTTGCAAGTTTTCTCTGTTTTGGTAATCTTGTACAGCAGCAGAAAGTTAGTCGAAACAGTAATTCAGTTTTAAGGCGTTTTTTTGTCATAATGTAACGAGAAGGCGAGTCGGCTGGCAAAACGTTTATTGATCCAATTCAAAAACAACCGGTGTATATGTTCGATTATATACAATCAGTTTTCAACCGCGCGGCAGGATGATTCATGTCTCATTCTGTTGGTCAATCCCTGTTGGTTTTGGTCTGCACTTGGCACATACGTTTCCTCTTCTTCCGCGTGCCGCTCCGACTGGTTTGATCCGATCTTGGCGCGAGATATGTTGATCGACAACTCCGACGTTGTGGTATTCGGTGGATGTCTTTCTGGCTAGATTCGGATTGTCCGTCGGGCTTTAATTGTCGATTTGTTCGTTTTGAGTGGTAGTCGACACTGTCTCGCGGAGTACTTCCAGCCGCTACATCTGCGCATTTGGTTGGATGGGCCCTATTCTTGATTCGTTCACTAGCCGGGACTCTCTTTGTACCACCTTCCATCACAATAAGAAAGAGATTTCTTCCCTGTTTCTTATCTGTTGGGCACTTGACAGCTGAATAACCACCTAAAGAAGACTTGACTTGGTTTACATAATCCAAATACCAGTGAATTATAAAGAAGAAGCGTGAATTTATCTGACTAGATATGGTCTTAGCCAAGTTTTACATTCTCAGGCATTCGTCTCTGTTGCTACCTGTGACTACTGCACCCAGCGATTGGTATGACCAATTGACTATCTCTGAGCTTGTATCTCATTGATTTTTTTCTAGCGGAATTCAGGTGTTGCAAGAAATCAATTCTTCTCTCACCAAACGCAATGCGTTCTCGGAACTTGCGCTTCAGCGCGTTTTCGATGCTAATTTGGAAGCCAAGTTTGTTCTAACCGGTTATTTGGGTAAGTGTAATGACGATATTCGTGTCAATAAGAACTACGCAAACACTTTCAAGAGTGAACCAAAATCATAGTAAAATAAACTATCAATTTCCCATTCCAGATTACGCCGACATTATTCGGGACCAATTTTTCGACCCAGGTCAACTATTATCGGCATCGGAAATTTTGAATTTGGAGGACTATTTGAAACAACCGTTGAATGATCGACGGCCTATCTATTTGATCAATATTCGAGACGCGTAAGCTCTGCTCATTTTGTTGGCGTTTCAGATTCAACTGGTAAATTTATTCGTCAAGTAGTTAGGACAACGATGTGAAATATATTCTTTTCATCGGTGTCTCGATTTCCCAGTCGGAGATCTGAATATCCTGAAAGCAAAGAGGTTCTAACTGGACGGCCATCTTAATTGATTCATGTATATATATATATATATATCACTAGTACAAACGCGTGATACATATATCCCAACCCTCATTTTTCTGTTATTCTTGTGTTGCTTTGGCACCAAGCATGCGTGCAAGCAAGGAACTTCGCGTTCAACAAAAATCAAGTCACTTTTTGATTTTATTTCATGTGATCTGGAATATCTTTTCAAATGACAAAGACCAACCAATTTTCCAGCACTTACTCTACTGGTGTGTTCTATTGCTGAACTACAACACGTCCTTTGATTGGCTTCACCACTTTTGTGTTCACTTACGCATTGGAATTGGTTTCTTGGCTTTCATTTTGTTTTTGCTCTGTTCCCATTACAGAGAATTATCAATACAATTAAAAGATAATTACTCCTGTTTTGTCTCATCCAACCCTCATAAGTTTACCCGAACAGGATTTTATGACTTTCTGGTATTCTTCATGGTGCTGTTCAATCTTCATATCTCTTTTCTGCCTTTATTAGTGATCTTTTGGTCCCACCCGCTGCGCACATCCAAA